AATGGAACAGTACTTCAATGGAAGATCCGAATTGGCGATGAGAATTGCCATAACATCTTCATATGACACTCCGTATTTGTCTTCCTCATTGAGAACTGCGATGAAGCACTCATCCATGGCAGCAACACCAAGCAGATGGTCCCGATCCGCATTATGGTCATGACTGAACAGCTGCGCAGTCAGATCTTTCGAAGTGTGAGGCTCCATTTGCTGCTGCAGTGCGTCGACCACATCTTTCGAAGGTGCGACGGATTCGAATATGAACCTTCCGCGATCCTTTGCTAAACGCGACCGCTTATTGTCAAGGTTGGTGCCAGAAAACGGTGGTGACATCACCCCTTCGATTTCGGCCGGTGTCACGGATGCTTTGTTCACAATAGTCGGTCTCTTCAGTCCATATCCCAGCCTTGTCTTGGGCGCAGAGGGTGCAGAGACAGAAGACGGGCGTTCATCGTCAGTGGCATCGGCACGCGACTGGGGCCCAGACGATGCTGCCCCGAGCCGTAATGAGCGAACGCCAGTGGTACCACTTATGCCGTTCAAGACCTTGGGTGGTATGTGCTTCGCGGGCTGCACAGGAGCAGATCCCGAGCTTTCCATTGCCGACTCCGCCGGCTGTGGAGCCTGTCGACTTGCGCTAGGAGCAGTCCGTACAGGTGCAGAGGAGACAGGCTGAGAAGGCACAGGTCCACTGGCTGCTGGTTTCGCGGCCATGATGAGAGGGCGGATGGCTTGTTGCGAAGCCCCCTTCAAAGATGACAGCTTTCCCATGACCACATCAAAGCCCGCTTGAGAAATGACAGTAGGCAGCACCGCTTGACCAGCTTTTCGTACGTCGCCACTCTTGTCATCCAAGCAGGCTATGAGAGGACCAGCCAATGTCGTCAAATCCAAAGAAGAAGACGGAGGATGTTCCTTGAACCAGTCAGCCACCCAGCTCAGCAGATTGCTTCGTAGCAGAGGATTTGAGGTCTCCAAGGCAGAAGCGATTCCGGGAATGAAGCTGTCGATCTCCTCGCAAGCGGTGGCCATGTTGGTGAGCGTAAGCAAAGCTGCAGCACGTATGGGTGCCTTCTGGTCTGTAAGAACACCAGCCACCCCCTGAACGAACAGTCGAGTGTGCTTCTCAAAGGGCTTGCCCATGCCAGTAGCGATGCGAGAAATGATGTCGAGCGCGAGAGCTTGGACAGCCTTGTTTGTGTCTGGTACCCGTGTCTTCAGAACTTGGCCAATCTCGCCCATGTTTGGCTTCAGTCGCTTGTTCGCTGCTTCGTTCAGAATGGCTTGTGCAGTTTCTAGCGCTTCTTTCCGGGTCTTCCACGCATCGCTCCTGCCATCTGTGAGCACCTTGCCGGGAATGATCTTGTCGAGATCCACGCGAGGGTAAAGGCTATCCATAGGATCATCCCCTGCGCCACCTGCAGCTGTGGCTGTTGTTGTGCCAGCGAGATCGGCTTGAGATCGGGTCGGTTCCGGCGCAGGTGTTCCTTCAGCCTTGTCAAACTCAGCAGAGATCGTATTCAACAGCTGGAGGTTGAGATCGGAAAGGAAGTCCTTGATTCCCGTACCGGCGAATAGTCGGAGTGTGACTAGCGTAGATGTGCCCGCAGAGCGAACGGCGGCATTTGAGTTGCCAAGGGCAGCCTTCAGGAAGTCGACAAGTGCACGTAGGTTGAGGCCACCGATGCCGAACTCCGTCAACATTTGACCTATCCAGACAAGCGACTCTGCTTGGACCTTGGGCGCCTTTTGTTTCGACATTGGCTCATACGCTGTTTGAGACATTAAACCAAGCATGACATCACGAGAGCATAGTCTCACCTTGAGTGAGAACGAAAGACAAACTCGTCTTTTCCGCGAATAGACCAAGCGTGTCGCCAGCCGGTTTCTTGAGTTTCAAGTCGCCGAGCTTTTCTGTCAAGTGGGGGATTGCAAGTGCGGCCGATGTCTTCCCGAACGATGGACATTTGTCGGCGAGGATTGACAGGACACTATACACTTTTGCAGAAACCTGTCATAGATATAAGACGCGAACGAGCCCATCAACTTTAACTGCGCTTACCTGGAAATTCTTTTCGTTCCAGTCACGTTTCTTGCCCCCAAGGAAACGGAACACGATTTCAGAGTCTGTGCTCCCTGCCTGTTCATTTGCCCATCCTTCCATCTCTTCAACCGCCGCCAATCGCGTCTTCCAGTTCGCATCTGCATAACCGGCAGCAACAGATGGCGGAATGAGCTCAACGATAAGGCCCTCGGCTTCGTCAGGAGTATGCTTGAACTTGAAGGTATCTGTGGCTTGCGGCGGGGCACCTTTCGTGGTCTTGGAAGAACCTGCCGCGGCCGGGGCAACCTTTTTCGGCTGCGGCACCGCAGCGGCTGGCGGACCTGTCGCTTTCTTTGCCTGCAACAATGCGGTCAGTTACCAACATTGATCCAGCAGGGTTCAATGTACCATTAGACGAGCAGGGGGCTTTGCTGTGGGCTTTGGAGGTGGTGAATCGGCCCCCATCTCGTCGTCGCCGAAATCAGCCGTCATAGGCTGTTTACGCTGAGTTCAGTGTGAGAAACGTCAGAATGCCAAAGCTGTTCCAACACACCGGCGGGGCGGAAGATTCCTCCTCCATAGATGCCTGTCAACGTCATCAACGACGGTAGAACACGCCAATGTCAAACTTACCATGTCAGTTTGAGAGCGAGCGGCCGGCCGCTTGGCTACCATAGGTGCATCCGGTGTGACATCAGTGGGCGGTGGCGCAGGTTTGCTCTTGCGCGCGGGTGCACTTGAAGAAGACTGCGGCGGCGCAGATGCACCCTCGACTGGCTTTGCAGCCATGATAAGAGGCCGGACTGTTTGCTGCGTTGCCGGTTTGAAGGAGGATAGCTTTCCCAGTATGGTATCAAGACCAGCCTGAGCAATTACTGCCGGTAATACTGCTTGAGCAGCCTTTCGTACATCGCCGCTCTTATCCTCCATACCCGTGATGATAGGGGTTATCAAAGACCAAAGATCACCGGAAGGCGATGACGGATGTTCCTTGAACCATTCGGCGACCCAGTTCAGCAGGTTGCCGCGCAGTAAAGGATTCGATGACTCCAGGGCGGTTGCAATTCCAGGGATGAAGGTCTCGATATCTTCGCACGCATTGGCCATGTTGGTTAAGGTAAGCAGACCGGTGGCACGTATTGGAGCCTTTTGGTCAGCCAGAACACCGGCGACCGGCGCCACAAACAGGCGTGCATATCTGTCGAATGGCTTGCCCATGCCAGTCGCGATCATGGATAAGGCGCCCAGGGCAAGAGATTGAATCGCCTTGTTGGTATCCGATACTCGTGCCTTCAAGACCTGGCTGATTTCGCCCATGCTTGCAGTCAGCCGCTTGTTAGGACCCTCGCTCAAGATAGCCTGAACAGTCTCCATAGCTTCTTTACGCTCCTTCCAAGCATCGCTACCCGCCTGCGTGAGGACTGAGGCGGGTATAATCTTGTCGATGTCCACGCGAGGATAGAGGGAGTCCATCGCGTCACCAGCGGGTGCTCCGCCAGAAGACGTGCTCGCTGTTACTCCGGCAAGATCTGCTTGAGAACGAGTCGGTTCTGGCGCCGGTGTTCCCTCCGCCTTGTCGAATTCAGCGGAAATCGTGTTCAGCAGCTGGGGATTGAGGTCGGAAAGGAAATCCTTGATGCCCGTACCAGCGAACAGTCGCAGCGTGACAAGGGTGGAGGTTGCGGCAGAACGGACTGTGGCGTTGGCATTCCCAAGGGCGCCTTTGACGAAGTCTACCAGTGCACGAAGGTTGAGTCCGGCTATGCCGAACTCTGTCAGCGCGTGACCGATCCAGCCCAAGGCGTCTGCCTGGACCTTGGGTGCCTTCTGTTTTGACATTGGTTCGTAGGCTGGAAGACCTCTTAGCAAACTTGCCCTCAAGTGCGATGATAACCATACCTTGACCAAGGACAAACGAAAGACTCGTCTTCTCTGCGAAGAGGCTGAGTGCATCCGCAGCCGGTTTCTTCAGCTTCATGTCGCCCAGCTTCTCGGTTAGATGAGGTATAGCGAGAGCAGCCGAAGCCTTCCCGAAGGACGGACTTCTGTCTGCAAGGATTGAAAGTATGATGCATACTTTTGCGGAAACCTTGTATGCGACTTCAGCACGGAAGCGAGGATCTGAAGGCCAATCAAGCGCACCTGGAAGTTCTTCTCATTCCAATCACGTTTCTTCCCCCCGAGAAAGCGAACCACCAGCTCAGAGTCTACGCTTCCAGCCTGCTCGTTCACCCATCCTTCCATCTCTTCCATGGCTGCCAATCGTGTCTTCCAGTTCGTATCGGCATAGCCTTCAGTAATGGTTGCGGGTATGAGATCGGCAATGAGGTTTTCGGCATCGTCAGGAGTGTGCCTAAACTTGAAGCTATCTGTCGCTGCTCCAGAGGCACCTTTGGCATTCTTCGAAGACCCGGATGAGTCTATCCCATCGTCGTCGCCGAAGTCGGCTGTCATTGGTTTGATGCGCTGAGAGGGTGTCAGGGTGGTCATGAGTGTATGCTGGGTCAACGCACGCAGCAAGCCGCCGGCGCCTCATACTAGCGATGTCAACCTAAATCTATGTGTTGTCAGTGTAAGCTGAGAATGCGCTTATACCGGAATTTACTAACATATGTGGTTTTCTCCTGGTGTATATCAGCATTTACCTCTATCTACGACATATTATGACAGGATATCATTACCAGTACCGGAAGCCGCTGTGGGTCTCCACTAGGTGGCATTGCTATGGAATGGCTAAGTGGACAGCTCCGCGTCGGGACGAGGGTCTGGCACGGGAGCAGACAAGACCCACAGTAATTCCAATAATTTATACCGTTGCGTTATATCTTTTAAACCCCGCTGGCCCCTATTAGCTAATAAAATGGACCCTTAAACATGCCAAAAACGGGGACTCCGGAAGGAGGAGGCAAAAACGGAGAGAGCGCAAACTCCGTCAGAGTTGCGCTTTACTCCCCATAGACATGTACGGGATTCGAACCCCTGGCCTCCGGCGCGTGACTGATCACGCGCCGACGCGCTAACCACTGCGCCAACATGTCCTTGGATGCATGCATATGCTTATATGCATATTCTTGCCATTCGATTTGGGGTCGTGCGCGGGAGGCCCCCTCTCCGTGCCGGGGCGTGCTTGAATGATGCTGAATAGACGATATCTCGCGTTCCCGACGATGCATTGCATTGATTAGGCGCTCCATGTTGCGAGCAGAGAAGCAGATCCTTGTAAAATGTCACCGGGTCATCCGTTCGCACGGCTGACGCTGTTCCAGGTTGACGACATCGCCCTCCACACCGAAGCCGAGAAGAAGTTGGGCATCCCCGCCGTATACCTGTGCTTACTAATTAGCAGATAAATAATATTTCAACGTGGCAGACCACCGCTGGGTCTTATCAGACCCTGAAGGATCGGTCGCAAAAACGAGCTGTCCACTTAGATTCCATACATTGCGGGGCTTTAGCAGACCCTGGCTTGAACCGTCTCCGGACCATTGAGACGGGTCTGGCCTTCGGCCGAGACCCTTGAAGTTCTGCTTACCCGGCGACCGACAGTTTTGCAAAGACGAACGAACTGCCGGACTGTGGCAAGACCTAGTTCAATTCCGCTGACCAGGGAGAACATTGATCAGCTTTGCCGCACTGCGGTCACCGCTACGAACTGACCCAGGCTGTCCCGTCAAGTTTTACCTGATTCTATGCGTTTCTATCTGGCAGACGAGGACCCGTGAATCTATGAATGCCGTTTTCAACTGGAAGCATCTCCAAGTGTTCTCGACTCGCCCAGGAGGCAGCTATGTTTTCACCTACCATGGTGTCGTTACCCTGTAGCATGCGGAGCGATGGTCAACTTTCCTGTGTCTTGGCGCACGGTTATCCCTATACGGGGCGAGAGCTTATCTTCATAGACCAATCTGGCGCCGCCTAAGTATTGGAACCTAAGTGTACGATCAATGTATACATTCCATAGTCATAGCTCCGTTCTAAGAGGGCATCATACAGTGCGGGAAAAAACAATCGGCGGCGCAAATCCTTTGGTACCGGCCCCTCCAGCTAATGAAACCGGACTTACGAGTCCCTCGAACGGCATTGGCGTCGTGTTCCCGTATCGAGCGTTTGGGAGAATATCACCAAGGGCTTCGTGGCGTGGCAGGAGAGAAGTTCCAAACTGAAGATCATAGGTGCTTCCAGCGCGAGTGTAAAAGTTGGAAAGAAGTGACGTGGCTTCTGGTTCGTGTGCTCGAACCCATTGCTGGCCTTGCGGAAAGGGCATAGTGCGGCTCGGACCGGGTGCATTGTTATCAGTCGCAGAGACTATGGAAATCGTCGAATACACATCAGACACCGATGCCGCATTCAACAAAGAGTAATCGCTGGAGGGTGCAATATCTGAGCCGTTGACGGATTCGTAGTCGCTGTGTATTGGGGTTGACCTATCCCCTTCTTTTCGGGAGGTCTTTCCAAGTGCGCTCATCTAATAGCCCGGTTAAAGCGTCTGAAACTGCTCTGGATTATTCCAGCTTACGAAGGAGATGTAGAAAGCCCACATGCAGATCTTTTTGACTTCTTCATCTTGGACGAAGGTGCCCATGAGAGGCACGAGACGCCTTTTCACCTGCTCTCGAGCTGATTCAATCACGTGTTTATGAGCAAATTCAGGCATAGTCCACCAGCGCATCCCGAGGGCAGGCTGGCCTTCCGGCATCGCTACCTCCTTGTTTAGATATTCTGGTTGTGTAAGCCGTTTTGATAGCTTCTCCAGAAACCGGCACCGTACCTAGGAGGTCCGGACGCATCGCTTCCATGTACTCTTCCACACTCTTCAAGAAACCCTCGAATTCCAGCCGTTGCGTGGGCGTAAGCTCAGTGTAAGGGCGCTCCATCGCTGATGATCCGGAGGCACTTCTAGAGCGTGAACCTGCTTCGTGCTCAGCGTTGTAGGCGGGGGGTGGAGTGTTTCTATCCATTGTGAAACAAAGATGATATCATTGAGTAGGAGTATGCTGCCGCGTCGGGTAGTTGCACGCTGTACAGGGGAGCAGGGATAATCCAAACGGGAAAAGGGTGTGGATGCCCGGAGTGAGGCTTTTAATTGACAAAGCAGAGTGCATGAGAAGACCATGTTCATCTGTCCGGCATCAACGGAATCGGGTCCCATAACACGCCGCAAATTCGGCCCGCATGAGCTGCACGGTTCTCTGTCGTCTCATCAACCCTTTCCTCGATCGGGCAGAAAGAAGAGCTGAGGAGTATAGGCTCGAACAGCTTCAAGATAATCATGATTATCTATATCTTAGGTCTGAACGTTCTGACTCCGCGAAACTGATGGACTGCTTTAGGCTCTTCCGATAACGCCGCGGTCTTTTGTCACCTCTGTTCGGCAAGATACCCGAGAAGCCGGTATGGCAGTGCAGAGCCTTCGCCACCGCTGTCGCACTCGTTCGCAAAGACTAAGTCGCCAGTCGCTGACGCTATAGTATGCTACAACTTCGAACGCTCCTCAACAACCCCAGAAATATCCAGATGGAAACAAGACGACCTCATGCAGCCATGCCTTTACCGAAGATTTCTAGTTCTTCCACTGTCAACGATGGTACTGGAGGCGGTACTGTGTCGGACGGCGCCTCTGAAGAGGCGACGCCGACCGATAGTCCTTCAACCCAAGCCAGAGAGGGACGCATGGTTATTTTCTTACCGGTAAGCAATTGGAGGTAATGCATATTCGTCTGTCCTAATGTTTGGAATAGGTCCTGGCCACGCCGGCTGATACATCGGATCGAACCGCCACCATTTTGTTCTTACTGTTCAATCATCTTTACATGAAGAGTGAGACTATCACAGGGTGAAGGGACAAAGCTAATGCAGCAGCCCACAGATGACCATCTTACGCTAGACTTTCTGTCGTACTTCAAGAAGATCGCAGATCAGATGGCTGTAATTGAACAAGTCACGCAGGCCGTTATCGAAGAAGAGCGAGATTATGAGAAACAATGCAAGGAGATGTGTGAAGAGCCTACCAGGCCGGAGGAGGCGTATGTAAAGCACCTTCCTCGAGTGCAGGCAGCGATTCAGGTGTGTCTTCTTCACTAAGTTCAGTGTGCATCCGATAGCTCATTGTTGTTTAGTCACGTCTGATAGACGTGGGCGTGCTGAGCCTTTTCTTGGAAGGATCAAGCGCGCAGAACGATGGTAGGCCTGGAAGAGGTATCCGCCCCAATTCCCGCCAGTTGGCCCGACAAGCTTTGCGCAATGCGACTGAGCATAAGAGAGAAGGAGGAAGGATTCTTTAGCATACCGAAATGCTCGGGGTTGACTTACAATGGATGACAACATGTACTCAAGGTGTACACCGTGTACTCTGAGTGTACTTCTGCCTGTAACAATACAAGCATATCAATGCGACAATTCAGTGAGGGCGTGCTTGCCTTTCGTTGTGATGAGCCGTTTGGTTTTTGGTTTTTGGTTTTTGGTTTCCAGTTTCCAGTTTTTAGTTTCCAGTTTCCAGTTTTTAGTTTCCAGTTTTTAGTTTTTAGTTTCCAGTTTTTAGTTTTTAGTTTCCAGTTTTTAGTTCTCCTTCTTTGGTTTTCAGTTTTCGGTTTCCATTGTCAGGCTTTACGTTTGATCCGCCTGGCGCCTCGAGTTCCAGGGGCTGTTTGTATTACTCTGTTCTCTTACTAAGCATTTTCTATCGAGGCAACGGGCTGTGCCCACTAGCACAGCCAAGCGATAAGACTGGTTTCATCCTAGTCGCCTGTCTTCAGGTTTGTACTCATTGCGAACTCAAGGTACACGCCGGGTCGCTCTTGGAGACAAGGGAAATAAGATACACAACATTAATTGATGTGAAAATCGCTTGCAGTAGAGACAATGATAGCGTGTAGCGTCCGATCGAACTCCTCTCCATTGTCTGCCGCTGTCGCCAGCGCAGGAAGGGAGGAGCCATACCGGAGAGTGAGCTCGCGAAAGCACACTCTAGCCTCCAAAACAGTGTGCGGCAGGTGAACTGCTGTTTGCAAGACAGCGTTTTGGAGATGGTTGGGCTTTATGTACACCTCAGTGCTCTGTCAGAATCAGTGGTATGGGTGTGAAAGTAACGAACGCACTTTTATCGCAGCTCCTCCAAGATTATCCACCCCCAAGCACAATCGATTCAATAAACATCTTCGAATGTTCGGCTTGATAATGGCGGCAGCGGAATCATTACTGGTATTGATCCCATACGTTTCATAGACGGCATTCAAGACATCGGATGCGGGTGTTGCACCGCATAGAGGATGGCCGTCACGAGAAAGGTAGCGAACCATTGCCACTTTTATGCTTTCCCACTGTGGGTCCGCTTCGTCTGGCTCCACCCACCGTATCATATGAGCGATATAGAGATCGGCATCCAGAGTAGAGTCTTGCCATATATCGTATACAAATGTCTCAAGATCTGAAAAGGCTGTGTTTTCGTAGAACTGTAGCGCTCGTGAGATGGCTGATTGTGGAACTTCACGCCGACGTACTCACTTTGGCCAAATCAGGAAACACTTCCCATCCCCTCTGGAAAGCACGCAATTCGTCAGATGTGATTATGTCTGGTCCTCCCCAAAGAAAATAGTCTCGAAGCTGGCGGCGTATTCGACCATGTTGTTGGCTCGTCATCCTCCATTGTTCGATCGCTGCAGGAATATCCTGTCAATGACAACTCAGCTGATCGTCTGCAACTTGAAAAAAGAAATTACGATGTGAAAAGACTCAAGATATGGCACAAAGTGATGAATTGAGTGCAATGGGGGCAATTGTGAGGCCGGTTGATTGGACGACACATCCAGCAAGTGAAAGGCCGCAAGTCGATCCCACGATACCAGGAGCTCAGCGGCGATAGGTGAAAACGTTCGAATGAACGACATCTCCGAACAGCGCAGCATAACCGATGGCCGAAAACGTGACGAGGCCAGGAGCACCATGAATGGGGACAGATTGAGTGGCCGACTGCGAGCAAATAACACCCACAAGGAGCTCAGAGTGCCAATTCCTTGCCAAAACAGTGAACGATGTCCTCTGT